CCCCCTCCATGCTCTGTGCATCCCCCCTCCATGCTCTGTGCATCCCCCTCCATGCTCTGTGCATCCCCCCTCCATGCTGTGTGCCTCCTCCAGTGCTCTGTGCCTTCCTCCATGCTCTGTGCCTCCCCCCGTGCTCTGTGCCTCCTCCCGTGCTGCATGCATCCTCCCGTGCTGTGTGTATTTCCCCATGCTCTGCACATTGTCCCATGTTGTGTGTATCCCTCTGTGCTCTGCATCCTTCTGCCTATTCCTCTGCAGCTTCGCCCATGTCCCCTCTCCGCCCCATCCCTCCAGTTATTCCCCTCAAGTCCCATCTCTGGATTTCACATCCTGCCTCTCTGCTTCCCTTTGGAACTGTGCTGTGGAAGATTGGTTCACCTCGCCTGTCCCCTTGACCTGGGCTCACCTGCTGCAGCTCCATTGTCAAGGTCGCCAGACTCCTCCACCCTCCTGGAGCTCTCTACCTGTGACCTAGGACCACCCCTTCTTCACACTCCTCTCTTCAGGGCTCTGTCACCTTCCCACTGCCTTGCCTGCTCTCCCTCCCCTCTTCCTCTCCTTTGCTCCTGACCATGTGACAGGGCTGGGGTGCCCTGTGAATGAGCCTGCCCAGGCAGCCCCTCTGGCAGCTCAGAGGAGGTGAGCTTAGAAGACAGGGGTTTGAGAGCCCAACGCTGCCAAGTAAAGCAACTTTCTCTGGCACGACATGTGCACTGCTGAGGAGAGTGAGGGGCAGCACTCGGAGGCCCACGTGCCTTTGCCAGTGAGTGTGAGGGCCCGTCTGTGTTTTATGTTTTCCGCACGCTGTCTCAAACACTCGCTGTTAAGTAGACTGCAGCAGAGACCTGCCATCAGGGTCTAACTGATTTAAGCCAGGCGTATCCTCAATATATCGCAATCCATGTAAAACAAGGAGCTGCCTCTCAGTTTTGAACTTGACTGGGAGGGGGTCTAAGGAACTCTGACTGTGTAAGGAAAGTGCTTCTCATCCCTGACATTTGCATCGTTCCCACTTCTTTTCCTTCCCTGCCATACTGATCAGGACTCTGGTTGCAAAACCCAGCTCCAGCCAGCGGAGGCAGAAGAGAGGGACTTAGGAGGAGGAGGAGAGGAGGAGCAGGCCCCGGGGCAGCAGATCCATCTCCCTCTCCCTGCCTTTTGTCCCTGCCTGAGGGTGACAGCTTTGTTCTCTCTGACCAGCATTCTCCTGAAGTAAGGGACCAGGGTGGAGGTGGTGGCCACATCCTCAGAGCCTTGAGAACAAAGAAAGACCTCCTCCCCGGACATCCCAGCTCAACGTGCTGTAGGGAAGATTGTGATGGGCTTAGCTTGGGTCACGTGTTCATCTCCAGATCAGGTGTGGAGGAACCACCCCCCCAACCCCCACACAGAACCAAACGGGTGTGAAGAGTGTTCTCTGAAGACAGGAGAGGGCAGGCAGCACCTTCACCATCCCCAAAGTTCATATTTAAAGCAACTCTTGACTCCCTGTTGTCCAGACACAGAAAACCCAGGTTCTGTTTAGAGCCTTTCTGTGTCTTCCACCAGCGCAGCTCCCCAGACTCCAGGCCTTTCAGATCCTGACCTTGACATTATCTGCCTGGATTTCCCCTCTCCTTCCACCCTCTTCTGGGCCCAGCCGACTCCTGCTCCATCGTTAGGGCCGGGTAGTTGTCGGCTCCCTCTGCAAAGCCTTCCCCTGCAGGAGGCTCCACCCACGGCTCATCCACGCACCCGGAAGTGTTACTGCTGGACGATGTCCAAGTTCTTGGTGTTTTGAACAAAGAATTGGACAAAATGCACAAACAAAACAAGGAAAGAATGAAGCAAACAAAAGCAGAGATTTATTGAAAATGAAATTACGCTCCACAGGGTGTGAGGGGGCCCAAGCATAGGTGCTCAAGAGCCCCGTTACAGAATTTTCTGGGGTTTAAATACCCTCTAGAGGTTTCCATTGGTTACTTGGTGTACACCCTATGTAAATGAAGGGGATAAGGTAAAGTTACAAAGTCATTTATTCGCTAGACTCCCTATGTAAATGGAGAGGATATTTCCTGTCATAGCTGAAGTGTTTCCATTTGACTTAGTTCTAGAAAGTCAGCATGAATCGACCTCATGTTCCCTGTCTCCAGACCCTGTTCTCCTGCCTCAGAAGGACTCTGTTTCTGTTCTGTGATCACTCCCTTCACACTGGATTCGGTGTCACCCATCACCCTACCAGCTCGTGGTGTCATCAAGAGCGGGGCTGTTCCTACTTGTCTTTGTAGCCCAGCAGCTAGCACCTGGCAGCGGTAGTTACACAGGAAATACTTCCTGTGGTTGTGTTGAGCGGGATAAAATAGTGCGTGTTATGTAAGACATTGGAAAATAATTTAAAACCTAAGTAACCTATGCTTTGCAATCTTTAATGAAGTTCTGGTAGACTGCATACAGTTTTATTAATAGTTAGAATAAACAGGCGTTTTCTTCCTCCTTTCAATTTATCTTAGAAATTCAATATTTCAGGGTGTGCAGAATCATTTTTCCTCACCTCATACATACATCGCTGCTTTTAACATTTCATTGCTGTTCTAATCTCTTCTGTGACATTTCAATATTGTCAGCCGGTTCTCTCACCTGCGGGGGAGCCAGCAGGGGCACTGCAGTGGATCAGAATGATTTTCCCAGTGGGAGGCTCAACCATTGATTCCAGTTGATGGAGCCTGTGACTTCCAGGCGGGAGGTTTTCCCAAATTAGATATCTGCCTGTACTATTCATGGAAGAGTATATGTGTGTGCACATATGTGTACATTTGCAAGTGTGTGCACCCAGGTGTGTGCATGAAGGAATGAAGTGGGAGGAAGGAAGAGAGGGAGGGTTGCACATTGAGTGTGTGGGCTATTGTTCCAAGGACGCATTATCTGACTCTGTTGTCTGAGTCTCCTCTGAATTCTCCCTGGAGAACCTAAACCGGGAAGGCCCTAATGGGAGCCTCCTTGGATTATCCGTTAAAAAAAAAAAAAAAAAAAAAAAAAAGGAGGTCACAATCTTGCTACCCTGTAGCCGAGATATTCACAACAATATATCAATGCGATTGTGCACTCATCTTTCTGTGGTATTTTTATTTTTCCACAGAGGTCTCATTGCCAGCAGTTTCACGGAAACCCACTATCTGCAAGATGGTACTGATGTCTCCCTCGCTCGAAATTACACGGTAATTCTGGCACGTTGGAATCACCATAATCTTACACCATTGGATCTGTGCTTAAACTTTGTAGCCATTTTATTCGGAGCAAAATCACACACCCAGATTCTTAGCTTAGGCCCCAAGAAGTGCTGGTGTGTCCCTTAGTGGTAGGCATTCCATTGTAACTCCAAAACACCAGCCTTGGCCAGGTATGTGCGCAGACAGCCCTTGAGGGAATGGTTTTATGGCGGGGCTGACCTTGAAACCACCTTCCAAGGACTATGGATGCTCATTTGAGCAAATCCTTTTTAGAAAACCTAGCCAGTTAGAGATGGCTTGGAAGGCAGCCATGCCTGGACTGAACTTGGCTACATTAAATTCTGAGGCACCTTAAAGAACTTTAAAAGAAAACTGATTCTGCTTAACCTATTCTGAATGTATCCACAATGTGGATACGATTCTATACTGTGGGTGTTACTGTAACATGACATTTATCACCTCTCAGGCAGTGTTCCTGGTATTTGAACTTTTAGCTGTGTCCTGGACAAAACGCTCACTTTATTTGTTGCTTTAACAGATGTTTACTGTGTACTCGCTGTGATCTGTCCCACACGTGAATATGGGGTTTCAGAGAGAATAGGGCAGAGTCACTGCCCTCTGGGAAGAAGGAAAGTTACTTGTTTTAAAGAGTAACCTATGCTTTGCAATCTTTAATGAAGTTCTGGTAGACTGCATACAGTTTTATTAATAGTTAGAATAAACAGGCGTTTTCTTCCTCCTTTCAATTTATCTTAGAAATTCAATATTTCAGGGTGTGCAGAATCATTTTTCCTCACCTCATACATACATCGCTGCTTTTAACATTTCATTGCTGTTCTAATCTCTTCTGTGACATTTCAATATTGTCAGCCGGTTCTCTCACCTGCGGGGGAGCCAGCAGGGGCACTGCAGTGGATCAGAATGATTTTCCCAGTGGGAGGCTCAACCATTGATTCCAGTTGATGGAGCCTGTGACTTCCAGGCGGGAGGTTTTCCCAAATTAGATATCTGCCTGTACTATTCATGGAAGAGTATATGTGTGTGCACATATGTGTACATTTGCAAGTGTGTGCACCCAGGTGTGTGCATGAAGGAATGAAGTGGGAGGAAGGAAGAGAGGGAGGGTTGCACATTGAGTGTGTGGGCTATTGTTCCAAGGACGCATTATCTGACTCTGTTGTCTGAGTCTCCTCTGAATTCTCCCTGGAGAACCTAAACCGGGAAGGCCCTAATGGGAGCCTCCTTGGATTATCCGTTAAAAAAAAAAAAAAAAAAAAAAAAAAGGAGGTCACAATCTTGCTACCCTGTAGCCGAGATATTCACAACAATATATCAATGCGATTGTGCACTCATCTTTCTGTGGTATTTTTATTTTTCCACAGAGGTCTCATTGCCAGCAGTTTCACGGAAACCCACTATCTGCAAGATGGTACTGATGTCTCCCTCGCTCGAAATTACACGGTAATTCTGGCACGTTGGAATCACCATAATCTTACACCATTGGATCTGTGCTTAAACTTTGTAGCCATTTTATTCGGAGCAAAATCACACACCCAGATTCTTAGCTTAGGCCCCAAGAAGTGCTGGTGTGTCCCTTAGTGGTAGGCATTCCATTGTAACTCCAAAACACCAGCCTTGGCCAGGTATGTGCGCAGACAGCCCTTGAGGGAATGGTTTTATGGCGGGGCTGACCTTGAAACCACCTTCCAAGGACTATGGATGCTCATTTGAGCAAATCCTTTTTAGAAAACCTAGCCAGTTAGAGATGGCTTGGAAGGCAGCCATGCCTGGACTGAACTTGGCTACATTAAATTCTGAGGCACCTTAAAGAACTTTAAAAGAAAACTGATTCTGCTTAACCTATTCTGAATGTATCCACAATGTGGATACGATTCTATACTGTGGGTGTTACTGTAACATGACATTTATCACCTCTCAGGCAGTGTTCCTGGTATTTGAACTTTTAGCTGTGTCCTGGACAAAATGCTCACTTTATTTGTTGCTTTAACAGATGTTTACTGTGTACTCGCTGTGATCTGTCCCACATGTGAATATGGGGTTTCAGAGAGAATAGGGCAGAGTCACTGCCCTCTGGGAAGAAGGAAAGTTACTTGTTTTAAAGAGCTGTGGGTATTTATTTGAAAAAGGATGAGCTAGAGGCAGGCTTTACCCTTATCCCTTATCATTGAAGCTTGTCAAATAGCCATTACCGTCTGCAGTGATTCCTCCCTTCTCTGCGTGACGCCAACACTTTTCTTTATCACTTGTTTGACACTTGGCACTTACAAGCTGATACCTGCAGCCTTCCAGGAACTTGGTGGAATGAGCTGCTATAGCTCTCCCAGCCCAAAGAAAACACGTGAAAACCCTGGATAAAATATAAACATTTAAGATTTTTGCTAATGCCTGGTCCAGCTCAAAAGAAAGTCAGCAAATCCCCAAGAGGCAGAAACAAAGAGGGGATGTTGTTCCTGAGCCCTGGCTGGTGAGTTGGGGCTCACCGAAGGGCTATTCAAAGACCCAAAGGGCTATTCAAGACCCAGCAAGAGGGCCTGGTGCTTGGGTTTGGGAAAAGAGAAGTAACCGCCTACAACTGAGAGTCCCACAAAAGCCAGATCCCCAGGAGAGCTGCTTTCCTCTGTGAAAAAGAGACAAAAAGAACTCTTCCAATCCAGGGATGGGGGCTGGGAGGAAGAATTGTTTGCCAGGTGTCTTGGATTGAAAAATGATTTCATAAAAAATGAAGACATTGAAACCCCAGTTAGTCTCATGTGTGGATGTTGGGAATAGTCTGGGCCTGTGTCCAAATTTTTAATACCAGCGTAGGAATGGAATTCCCAGTCAAGATATTAACCTCAAAACTGGTCCCACATCAGTGAAACTCCCATGGGCCCAGGCCTAAGCCAACCCAAAATAGTTCTGTAGGAATATTTCTATAACCCAGATAACATGAGATACCCTCATGAAAGAAAAATTAATAAAAATATTAAAGATGAACCCCAAATCAAAATTATAAGCCACACAATGCAAAAAGACATTGTACGCAAGCATCAGTAGACAAGAGAAACAAGAATTAGGACCTCTGAGAACATAAGAGATAATAGAAAAATCAAAGAAGAAAAATTAAAAGAATAGAATGGGTCTAATAGAAATTCCACAATGAAAACACATAAAATTTTAAAACACACACAGGAAGCAAGCCGTGTTTAATCAGAATGTGATGAGCCTGTCCCTGAATTGAGGAAAGACATGAGTCTTGAGGAAAATCTACCAAGTCAAGCAGGAGGAATAACTAAACTAAACACACTCCAAGACAGCTTATGATGAACATGCGGAACACCAAAGATGAACTCTTGAAACCACTTGAGGCAAAAGAGAGATTTGTACAAAATAATGACAACTAAACCAACAACAAACTTTTCATTAGTAACTATGCAATTAAAACTTGAGAACTAAGGGAAAATTATTGTCAGTCTCAATCCTATATTCATTAATTATTTTATAAGAATAAAAATGAAATAGACATGTTCATACAAAGATGAGAGAATTTACTACCCTCAGATTCCAACGAAGGTATCTACCAAAGGATAACTAACAAAGAATAGCTCAGTAGGAAGGAAATTGATCACCAGCAGCAAGGACAGGAAGTCAGAGGCACTACTAAGCAAAATAATGCATGTGAATAAATTTAAATAAGCTTCTTAAAATGACTGTTACAACAGTGACCAAATTTGGGTGGCTTAAAACCAGATGAGCTAATAGATTTAAAATGGTTTAAGAATTTGTATTGTGCTAGAGAATAATAGACATGCTGATTAACTTTAGATTTTGATAAGAGCGTGTCCTGCAATTTTAAGTATAACTATTTAAAGAATAGAAAATCATAAAATAGTAAGATAAAAATGAGTCCACATATTAATCTCATTATATGTAAATAGATGGAATCTCTTTGTGAAAATGAAAACAGATAATCTGCATAGAATTTAAAATAAAATCCAGCTGCATCATTTTTACAAGATTCACACCCAAAATATACAATGGCTGTGAAAACAAAGAAAAGGAATGGAAAAAGATATTGTAGACAAATCTTAATCCAAAAAAAAAAAAAAAAAAAGCTGCTGTAGTGGTAACATCAGAGAAGCTAGACCTTAAGGCAAAAATGACATGAATAGGGATAATAGGGTAATTCTGTAATGATAAAAGGAGCAATTTAGAAGGGTAGTAAAAGGATGTTGAAACTGTATATGCTAGCAAAATTGTCTCAAAATATATAAAACAATAAATGACAGAATCCAGGTATAACTTTTAAACTAATTATATAGATTCATCTAGAACTAAGCTTTAGCCCAGCTCCTAATGAAAGAATTTCTTAAAATCTGAAACAAAACAAAAAACCATTAAAGATTAGACATTATTGACTAAAGCTTTTTTGGTTCCTAGAAGGTTACCAAAAAAACTTTCAATACAGACAACATGTTGCAATTTTTCCTCAAAAGAAAAGTCTCTAGATGTAAAGTTGATAAGCTTAATTTATAAAGCAAGTCACTGAAAATGTCTGGACACATTCACAGAGTGGGAGATTTAAATATACGTCTCTCAGAAATGAAGATTTTTTAAATGAGCAGAAATTAATGAAAAGAAAGACCCCCCCCCAAAAAAAAAAACTCAAGAGAGAAGATAAATTAAACCAAAAGCTGGTGCTTTGAAAATATTCATAAAATGGACAAAACATTTACAAAATTAATCAAGAAAGAAAGAATTCCTAAGTAAATAATATTAAGAATGCAAAGAGGGATGTAAGTACTGTTATTCAGAGATTTTTTAAATCACAAGAATGTTGTGAACAATACTAACCATTTTCTTAAAAATGTAAAATTGTTAACACTGGTTCAAGGCGAAAGAAGAAAATTTAAATATAACTATGTGAAGAAATTAAATTTTTAATAGTATTTTTAATATTTACTTACAAAAATAAGATCAGACTCACA